CATTTTGAATATGCCCTTTGGATTAACTTTCGCACCTCAAATAGCAAGGCCGAATACGAGGCCCTGTTGACTGGCCTCCGTATGGTAAAGGGGCTCGGAGCTAGCCATAATCAAGTTTACAGCGACTCACAGCTGATAGTAAACCAAATCAAGGAGGAATACAAAGCAAGGCACTCACGAATGGAGAAATACCTAAGTAAAGTCGGGTGCACCTCGCGCAGTTCAAAACTTATGAGGTAAACTAGATCCCTAGGTCCGAGAACTCAAACGCGGATGCCCTAGCAAAACTAGCATCAGCCTACGAGAACGACCTCGCCAGGTCGGTACTAGTGGAGATATTTGATCATTTCTCAATTCTAGAACCGGAAGTGATTCTCAACATCCATCATGGATGGACCCGATCAAAGAATACCTCCTCGATAGTGTTCCACCAGATCCGAAAGAGGCGAAGAAAATGGCGCGGAGGGTAGCTCGGTATGTGCTCCCAGATGAAGCTGTGTATCGTCGAAGGTTTTCATTTCCACTCCTTAGATGTCTCGTGGCAGAAGATGGAAACTACGTCTTAAGGGAAGTACATGAAGGAGTGTGTGGCAACCATTTGGGAGCCAGATCGTTGTCGGCCAAGGTGATCCGACAAGGGTACTACTGGGCCGACGATAGACCGAGACGCGAAGGAGTTTGTCAAGACTTATGACAATTGCCAACATTTTGCAAACACATCCATCATCTCCCAGAACTGCTCAATTTGATTATCGCCCCTTGGTCATTTGCCCAATGAAGAGTCGATCTTATCGGACCCTTCCCTCCTGGTAAGGGACAAACGAAATATATCGTCGTAGTAGTAGACTATTTCACCAAATGGGTCGAGGCCGAGGCCCTCGCCACTATCATCGAGGCCAAAGTCACGAGCTTCATCTGAACCAGCATTGTATGCCGATTTATGTTGTCTACTAATTATGCTACCAATTCTTATATGCGCAAGTATACACAATCATTGCAGCAAGTAACAAAAAGTTCGAATCCACAGAGACTAAGTGCCTAAACACGCYATATTCCCTTAAGAAATCAATGCATTAAACTAAATATTTTTTCTTCTGAATAAATGTTGAATTGAACAGTAATGTAGGCGGTTTAAATATATCCTTAAACACACGTAAATTTTCGCTAAAGCTAACAATTAATGAATAACTTCTTATGAAAATAAGAGCGTAAGGGGAGAGAATAACGACTCTTTCTGGGCTACTCTAACAATACTGCAGCATGAATGGAGTGAATGCAGTGGTCAAACAGACAAGGTAGTTTTCCAAGACAAACAATAACAGCGTATATGAACAGTTTTTAACCAAGCTAGGTGGTGCTTATCCCTAAGTTACCACACTCTAAACTCAAGTAGACTCTAGCTCGAGATGAAGTTTCAATTCCGAATACATTTTTCCAAAGGTTATTAAGAAGATATTTCAATATGGTGATCAAGCACATCCAAAATAGAGTGATACAACAACTTCAAATCAAAACACACTATCATTACTGCAAAACAACAAAGTTACAGCCCATGAAATGAGTTCACAACATCTCCTCCTTACACAAAATGTTTAGCTAGGCACTGCTATAAGGGGTATAAAAAATATAGGAATAAAAACAATACAAAGAGCTTAAAAAATGAAGAGAGGGAGCTGAAGATCAGCTCCCAACAAGTGTTCTCGACTTCTTTCTCAGCTGCAGTTGTCTGGTCTTCTTCTCCTCTTGACTTTCTCGAACGGTTGGAGAGGTTTTCTTGAAGTGAAGGTTGAATGATTTCAAGAATGAAATGGAAAATGTCTTGTGTGTGGAGGCTTCTCTTCTTATTAGCATTTATACCTCATTTCGATTTTAGGGCAACAAAACAATCCCTGTGGGGCCCAGCTCCCACTCCCAGGCGAAACCTCCAATTGTTGTGGTATATTTCGTTGAGAAGTCTTTTCACTGCCAGCTTGCTGCTTTTTGTCTCTTTCTGGAACCGATGATGTAACATCATCAAAGCTGCAGCAAAATGCTCAGAATTAGATCATTTATATAAATGTTAGCATTATATAGGAGAACCTTGATTTAATTGCTAATGTAGGCACCACTCAGTGAATATGGGGGCTAGGTGAGGCAATCTTTAGCTATTTTATGTGAATTTTAGACACAAATAACTCTCTTTAGGAGAGTTATCAAATTGGCATCCCAAATACCATAGTGCGGACAAAGGCAAGCAGTTAGACAACACGAAGTTCAAGTACTTTTGCACCAAACTCGGGATTAGCCATCTCAGATCTTCCCCGGTTCATCCAAAAGCAAACGGGCAAGTGGAAGCCATCAACAAGATCATTAAGAGCGGGGAAATGAACTCCCCTATTAGTCTTCTTCTTCCTCACTTGAGCCGCCCGCAAGCTGAGATGCTCCAGTGTCCTCTTCTTCTACAACAACAAACTTGTCCTCTGGGAATTTTGGGAAGGGCGGAAATGGGCAAGAGAAATTGCGCATAAGGGCTTTGCGAGTCACGATGTCTCTTTCCTTGGCATAGCTCAAATAGGCCTCTTGCCTTCGCTCTATGGTTGCTATCACTCCTGCAATGAAGTTGAGCTGCTGCAAGAGGCTGGCTCGTGTATGAGAGACTTTTTTTAGCCTAAAAATTATATTCCCTCCGCGCTTGCTGTGATCTATGGCCTTTGACCACTCAATTACCACTTCATTGATCACCTCTTTGTCCTTCAGCGTTTGATGGGTGTCTTCCATCTTGATCCTCAATAAGATGCAGAGTTCTGYGATCAGATTTGGGAAATATAGGTTACCCTGCTTTTTTTTCTCTACCTCTGCAATTTCCTCTCAATAAGCTGCCCCACATCGATGTTAAGCCCTTCTATAATGCAGAGTAAGAGGAGTATCCTCTCCTTCGTGATGGAGGTATCATGCATTGTGGGCATGAGCTTACTCTTCAACAGATGATACCAGACATTGGCTTCGGGCTTAAGGTAGGCTGGAAGGAATGTGCGCGCTCCTCTAGCTGATAGCTGCCACCTTGATCCTTCCAATCCAATGCATTTGATTGCTCTATTTAGTTGCTCCTCAAATGGAGCAACCATCATCTCATTAAAGGTAGCATGAGAGTAATTGGGGAGATTATATACCTCGTTGATGGCTTCTGCATTCCAGCAGACTTTCTTACCCTTACCATCACCTTAGAAGGGTCACTCGGGTTAAGGTTCACATAAAATTCTTGGACAATTTGGATGACTGCAGGCTTTGATGGCGCGCAAAAGGACTGCCACTCATGCTTGTTTATGGTGATAGAGACAAACGGGGGCATAGGCCCGTCAAACGGAAATCCCCTCCTCCTAGCAGGTTCCGCTCCTTGAGGCTTTCGAACCTTTCTGTTGTTGCAGCATCAACAAACCGTACAAACTCTGATTGCCCTACAACAACTTGCTCTTTTCCCTTTTTCTTCGCTTGCATGTCAACCTTCTGCTTTTGCTTCTTCCCTTTCTCCGGATCTGTGATTGGGAAGAGCTTCCTCTTTTGCTGCGATTTTCTTGTGATTATAGAGGTTGTTTCTTCCTCTTCTTCTCTTTCTGCCTCATCTTGCTCTTTTTCAGTTGGAGCCCTTTCTTCAGTGTCCTTTTCTTGGTTTGCAGCGCCTTCCCCCAAGCTAACCTCATCACTGCCCACTCCTTCATTGCGACTGTCCGCTTGGGAGAGCTCTTTCATAAATTTTGTTACTCTGCATCTGGTCACAGACGAAAGTTCTTGCTCTCCTTTTGCCTCTGGAA